TTCAATTGTTACGTCATCAAAAAACTATACCTTTATTGTCTGATAATGTATTATTATTTTTTTGATTGTTCTAACCGCTAGGCATCTTAGAATTATTGTTTTGTTTAGAACGAGCTGAACAGATTATCAATAAAAATGCTAAACTTCTTGGATGCTTGTTATTTTCACACAGAGAATTTTGTGTGTGTCATGTTGATGGCAATTGGTCAGATGTCCTTCATCTTTATCAAAGCGTCTGTGGATTGTGTTCTGAGTTTTGTGACTGGATTTTCTGCACAATGTGTCATATTCAGTATCGAGATAGGTTTTAAGTTATGTTGTTGAAAACAGATGATTAAAATTTGTTTTATGTTGCAGGTTGTGAGGGTAATTGAAATGTAGTTGGATTTTATATTTTTGAATGAGTCCTTTTCCTTTGTCTATGCAGAACTGACTGCAACAGTAATGTATTACGATAACTGTGGTTATGATAACTATGTTTCATCTGTGCGTAATTTATTGTTTTCATATAGATTTGGGTATGTTTGGTTATTTCAAGGTGTTGGTAATGAATCCTAGTTTCTTCAAATGTTTAAACAAGTTGCAGTTGACATGTTTATATAGTCATGGAATAGTACAATTGAAGAAAGTTCAAGGTATAAGCTGTACAGACTATTTAAAAGCCTTTTAGAGCCAGAAAAATATTTAACTATGTTAAGAAATAAGAAACACAGAAATATTCTTACTAGGATCAGAGCGGGCATTTTAAAATTAAAGGTTAATGAGGGAATGTGGTTGGGAGTTGATTTTAATCAACATATTTGCCCCATATGTAATAAAGGAATAGAAGATGAATTTCACTTTATACTTATATGTGAATGCTATAATAACTGAAGAAATTGCTATTTACCACAAATGTACAACGACAATCTGTCTACCTATAAATTTAATCAATTATTATCTTCTACATCACTGAGTTATTAAATAATCTTTGTAAATATTTATGTTTGAGCTTTGAGCTACGACAGCGGCTGGTTAATGGATAATATATTTGTATTTCATCATGACTCTTATGTTAAATTTAGCATGTTTATAGTGTACCCATGGAGCATTCATCATTGTAATAACTTTTTGTATATGGGCCGAAGGCCTTCATACAAAATAAAAGACTTGACTTGTCTTGACTGCAACAGAAACTTAGTGTTAAGCTGCAATGCCATGGACCAATTTTACACATTTCCATGAAAAGAAGTTACTATGTCTGAATGGGTTTTTATATTTTTTTTATGGGTAATACTTTTATCAGTTCTCTCTTTCCTCATGCAACCTTTTATGTATTTTAGACTTCATACCCAACATCAAATTACCCTGTGGTGAGAGTACTTAATTAGTGACCTATGCCCGGGCAAATTTGAACAGTGATAAGGATCCAATGAACAGGATGCAGATTGCGTGGATGCTGCTCATTATATCAATCATTGATTTATCAGATAGATAGAGACTCAGATATATCACACCCTGTAATACGCACCAACGATAAGACGTTTGCTTGTGGCCGTTATGGTTTGCTGTGTACAAAGTAACAGCTCACTACGGCTGAATAACATTGGTTGCGTCACAGTGACAGGTACATTTTAACACATTTATACACTACATTGTAAAAATCTTGTCAATCATAGCCAGTATTGAGATGAAGTATTTGAAAATGAGAATGTAGTTGTTTTAAATGTGAATTTACGAATTTTTGACCCTTTGATTCCAAACAGTGTTGATGCTTTCGATTTTGTTTGGTTATTGTTATCCAAATTTGTCGTAAAGAGAAATTCAACTTGTATATCTATTTTCACGAAGCATTGCCATAACATGATTGTTGACCGTAATATGTCGGGAAAGGCTGATATGACATAATATTCACAACATTTGATAAATTTAATGCTTCGGTCACTAATGGTAAGCCATGTGCAAAAATACAGTTTGCTATGGTGTCTGTTACTGGTTGCTAATGGTCACCACAATAGTGAAATCAATACATTAACATTTAGTACATTCAGCTGTCAAAATAACGGTATATTCAACAAACACATTCAACCCGGTTCCATTTGACTTGCATTCTCTCGCGATTGTCACCGAAGCCAATCACTTAATGCTGGAATCTGGTATTCCTGTCTTTCAGACCTTAACACAAGTGAGCATATTGTGAGAATCAAGTATACAAAACTGTGGATCTGTACTTTTTGGTTGACATTTCGGTTTTGAATACTAAAACCTTGGAATATCTGAATCACCAACTTTTACATCATTTCTGAAGAGAGATGTGGATTGCCATTCTGCATATCGGGTAGCATACATCTCATGAGCCCAGATAATGTTCAGAGTGGTCTTTTGGAACTTGGACACTACGTTCTTGCACAACACTTTCAATGGTTGAGGAGACTTAGTTTTTCTTGCTTTTGTGGTTGGTTCAAATTTGTTATTAACCACATCATACAACTTTTGACTTAACACACTCTTCAAGCGATGGGTCTTTCCTAAGATGGTTACCATCAAATATTGTAAACAAAGCTGCATTTCTTTCTTGTTTAATATCTGACACAGGCATTTGGGGGAACTGAATACCTCTACAAATTGCAGGTCACTGATACCGAGATGATTCTTCCTTGTAGGCTTGCGGTTCTCATTCCGATACTTCTGAAGTGACAAATATATCAGATTGACCTACTCTTCTGCCTTCCTGTGTGTGGTCTTGACTTCAGAGACCACTGCCCTCAAAGATTCACTTTCCTGATCCTCAGTGGTATCAGAACGATCTAGCGTGACAAGGTCCTCATGCCCATCCTCACCTGATGTCATACGGTTACATAGCTCTGTTCCTCTCCTGCATCACGCAAATCCTTCAAAGTTTTGTCATCAGGCACACTCAAGACATTGTTTGGGAGAATGTCAATGCTCATATTTACACCTTCTTTGTCACTGAAATCATCATCCCCTTATATATTATCATCTATGCTATTCCCGGTGTCAGGAACTTTCTTCTGCAATAAATCTTTTGCCATTACAAAAGGTTTCTTTGAACTCTGTAAACCATGTACAGTGATACAGCGGTATTACATGTCTCTATTTACTTTCTGTAGCGGTTCTTCGTAATTTGATACCAGAAAGACATTTCACATGTTGATTTCTTTTAGAATTGTTGGTTTCTTTGTACTTTTGGAGTCTTCAAAAACATCCTTCTGTAATTGCAATAGGATCAGTGGCTTGTCATCATGACTTCTAACCACGAATCTACTCCACTGGCCATCAAAACAGCAAACTGGTGTATGAATATTTCACTTTTCACACTCTTCTAAGACAAACCTTATGAACCAAAACAATTTGCCACTAGCAAACGTGTCTCCACGTGTAGCAAGCTGTAGCCTCTCAAATTAGAAATGCGTCTGTAACTTCACTATTTACCGGTAATTGAAATAATCCACACCCAATTGCACACATACATATCGTAATACTTGTCACCTGGTATTACATTGGTTTGTGAAATGTATGTTGTTTTGACAATTAAAACCAGACATTATTTTCCATTTGATGCCCAAACACACCAAATAACATCTAATCTTTACACAGTTCATGTAAAATTTGGTCAGATTTTTAGATCAGGTTATTACATTATTATTATGCTATCAAAATCCGATACATTTGCCTTCAAAAAGCATAACGTTTGGCTTGATCATGACTTACTCAATTTGTGTGGCTAGATCACATGGTTAAAAGTAGTTTTAGCCGTAGCGAGCCATTACTCTGTACATACCAAACTGTAACGGCCACTAGCAAACATCTTATCGCTGGTGCGTTTTACAGGGTGTATGTACAGGCAGCAATCATGTGTCTAAAATAAACAAACAAATTGTTGCATGCCAATTAGGAATTGTTTAGGTGAGGTGGGAATATTTCGCTCATGTGACGACATGCATGCGTATGTGTGACTGCTTGTACTAGCCCAGACTTTAGCTGGTTTTATAGTGCCAGCTCACTGAGATACCATGCCACAGTTAAGCATGAATAGCCCACTCAGACACATTATACTGACTCCGAGCTGACCTGTCCTTGTTGTACCCAGTAATGCCGAGCACCGGGCAGGGACCAACAAGTACCATATTTTAACGTCTTTTGGTATGACGCGGTCGGGGATCAAACCCGCTACCTTCTGCTCTCCGGGCGGACGCTCTAACCACTACACCACGGAAGCAGTCAGGAATTGTTAATGGTACTGGTATTCTCATGATGGCAATCACTGGGTTGTCTATTCCAAACTGATCCGTGAAGATCCGGGGTAGAATAGGTCTTCAGCAACCCATGCTTGCCACAAAAGGCGACTACGCTTGTCGTAAGAGGCGACTAATGGGATCGGGTGGTCAGGCTCGCTGACTTGGTTGACACATGTCATCGGTTCCCATTTGCACAGATCGATGCTCATGCTGTTGATCACTGGATTGTCTGGTCCAGACTTGATTATTTACAGACCGCCGCCATATAGCTGGAATATTGCTGGGTGCGGCGTAAAACTAAACACACTCACTCACTCTATTCCAACTCAGTTATTTACAGACTGCTGTCATGCAGCTGAAATATTGCTGAGTGTCGCATTAAACAACAAACAAAATAGGATTGTTCAGAAGAAAAATCATTTAAACAGTAAGTGAGTCTTTGTAGGGTGTGTCAGCTTGATGTGGGAGCAAAGTCTGGAGTAATGTAAGTCTCTGAGTCACATGAGCATAGGGTATGGTGTTGAAATATCTGAACTGGAAACTGGGGATAACTGGGATTTGAACCCACTTCTTAGATGACTGGGCCACCCAAATAGAAGGCATTCTACAAGTGTCAGTCGAAAGAACGCCAGGACTTCCCAGTGGTTTGATATGATATATCCCATACATGTATTTCAGTTTGTGATATTCACAAACAGGCATATCAGTGCCTTTGTCTTCTTGTTTAGCTTTTGTCTTTAAACTTTGATTTTATTTGTTTAGCTTGGATAGACTGTCAGCACAACCAAGCAAATATGAAACAGTGAACAAGAAGGGCCCAAAATTAGCATTAGGAGGAAGTGATGCAAAACTGGTGTTCAAGAAAAGAGTGTACCGGCATGTTCACGATATTCCAAATGACCCTGTGGAATACCATCTTTTGTATGCTGAAGCTGTGAACAAAGTTGTGAAGGTAAGCTTGTTGCAGTTTGAACTTGATTTGAAGCTGATTAGGAAAGACTGGCTGATGCTTTCTCATATTTCTTATCAACTTGTCCCCATTTTCTGCAAAGGATCCATCATCTTGATCCCTTAAACACTACACAAGCTTTCCAGATGAAAATGACATCTTCCAATGTTAGCAATTATTGGTCTCATATCAGCTGAACAAGTACCTCAGCCTCTGGTCTGTAAGAATGTCTGAAATGAAATTACTGGTGGTTTGCTGTGAGGATTTGTCTGAATTTAACAACCACCATACTTTGTTTTTGAAACCACTTCAATATACCTGACACTTGGACATCTCAGGGGGATATTATGTATATCTCTTTGTAACAGATGAAAATTATTTTGACACATTGACCAGTCATGTCCGTGGTCAAGGTGATCCTTCAGATCATAACCTGAGGAAATATTTGAGGAAATATGAAGAAGGGCTACATGTACCAAATGACCAGTGTGTAAGTTCACAATCACAGTTAACATGATTTGAAAAGTAATTTTGGCATTTTCACTAAATGCTTTTTTGTTCTGTTATTTTTTTAAAGTCTTTTTCATATCATGTATCACTGTAAGAATAAATTCAAGGATGAGTGATGAAAATGTGATGATATCTATTGTACTGTTACCTACTCTAAAAACGTTACATGTTTGTGACAACTCCAATGTCCATATGTTGTAACAAGATGAAATTTGGCACAAAGAGTGCCAAAGTTTGGGACATTGGTAAAGGGCTTTGGTGCAACCTGCAAAGGAGCCTCTTTATCGGAGCTGAATGCAAGACTCCACTGTTCCAAGCATTATGTGATCATCTGGAAGATCAGACTGTCTCGAGTTGTGGTCAGATGATCAACACAGTTAGCACATCAGCAATTTAAGAGTTAAAGGCTCAGAATATAACAATGATTCATGGACAGGAAGTTTGTAGGATGTGCAACTCATTATTTCCTCAGTCTACAAAACAGTGGTGGGCAGAATCAGTGAACAACTCATTTCATTATACTTTAACTGAGCAGAATCTCGAACTGCACCTATTTCAAGGGATGAAGCACTCATCTGGAAGACTGGTCTGTGGATGGATGAGCCCCACAGCTGTCACATCAACAGAATTAAAGACTCGGGCCTTCTGGCCCTAATCGACCTTTTGAGACCTTCATGCTCTGCCTCCATGCTGCCCTCAGTGACCTCTCTTGATTATGAGAGTTCAGTTGCTGAGGAGCGTAAGGAGGTAGACATGGAGGATGAGGAGGAGGGTTTAGAGGGGGAGGTCTTGTACTTCTTCGGGTCGTCCCTGAGGCAGGTCTGCGAACGCATAGCTGAAGAAGTTCTGATTCAGGTCACTGTCCCTTTGCAAGAGCCTGACCCCACAGAATTCCATCTCCCGGGGGAAGCCTTTGTCCCTGTAGGGTCGCTGAGGCAAGGCTGCAGATTCTTCCATCGCTGGTGAGCGAGGTGGTTAATCCCCTCCTATCTAGTATGCACATTCCCGCTTTGACCTTCCGGAGCTTAGCAAACGTTGCCAGTTGGGTACCAACGACTCTTCAGTTTGAGTTAAGTTTGCCGTGGTATTTTCCGTGAAAGACCGACGGTTATCAGTTACAAGTGGTTCCTGAGAAGATTGAGATTCCATTTTTTAAGCAACAATAGAACATTTTAACTCCTTTATTTTGGAAAAACTCCTATTTTCCAGATCGTTTAAAGCCGAACCAGAAGAGGAATTAATGTCCTCCCTAAATGACACCAACATAGCCGAAAGGGAATTATAATCCAGCACAGGTGGGGGAGGAGCACAATCCGGAGTAGCTGGATTTTTTTGGTTGTTCAGATGGCGGCAATTTACGTTTTTTGTCGCGAAGTCTAGCGTCGTTCATAGATTTCCAGTCTATTTCAGATAAGTCCTTACACAACAGACAACGCGTAGCTAATGCACATGGAGGATCAGTAGAACACACCAAACACAAGGAATGAGGATCTTTGTCAGGTTGCAAACGTTGACAACCCAAACATTTCTTTTGAGACATAACTCAAGAACGCACGTGGCCTAACAAAATGGCGGCAAAAATTTAGACAAGTTTTCACTGGAAATTAAAGTCAATTATACAGTGAGATAGCAAAAAAACAATTGCCTTAACACAATGCGACAGTACTAACCTAAATATACTGTAGAACATTGAAGTTGAACAAAAAGTTGCATCCAAGGAAGTCTTGAAAACACGTGCTCACTCAGTGAGTACAGAGGAAAATATGACATGGGTAGAGAGTCACTGGCAGGAGAGCATTCAAGGGAAGTAATCCGAAGGGAGCAAGGGTTATCTAGGTAAGGATTACCTCCCTTTGTTATTAATTTTTTATTTTTATCTAAGGGAGTCTGTAACACATCACCAAGTGACGGAGGAAAAGGCTATCACAACCAAGAGGGAATGTTTACGCCTATAATTGCCTGGGTTGTTGTTCTTGCTACCGGCGGCAGTTCAATGCGTTTGTAAATGTTGTTTTTCAGTTGCAAGGCGTACAGTTCGCCATCAACTCCAGGTTTGTCGAATGCGCGCGTGTCCCCGAGGTCGGAGATCGCTATGTTGGCGCATTTTAGAATGTGTGTTCCTGGACCTTGAGACTCTGTCATTGTCGTATGTGCAGCGTCGCACTGAGATATCCAATACTTATGGGATCGTGTTTAATGTCCAAAGCTGATATTTTCAATTCCGTGATGGTGCCTCTGGTTAATTTCTTGTACTGCCGCGACGAAAATGATTCGGTTCTGCCGTCATTGTACTTTTCTGTTTTCACCGCACGGCTCTAAGCAGTGTGGAAGGTCTTTCGCCTTGAACGTTGTCGGTCGTGCTCTGCTGATTGAGATGAATTCACAGTTTGTGATATGGAATAAGATAGGTAATTTTGTGCCAGTCATGGTGGTTTTCGGTGGTATGTCGTTTGACATAAACCCGAGCGTTCTAGCAAACAGACGAGTGAGTCATAAGTCGTTTTTTCCGTTGTTGACTAACACGACCATGCCGTTTGAGTCATTCATTTTAAGTTTGGCACCCACGGGTTTGAAGATTTCTTCGTTCAGCGAGCACATGCTGTAATAGCCGTCCGTTATTTGGTTGTGTTTGTCGTTGACGAACAGCTTGTTGTTGCTGCCGCTGATGTTGATCCATCACGAGTAGTAGGTGATATGGCAGAGCACGACTTCGAGCTGACTCGACATATTATCGATGGCGTGAAGCAGTTGAACGGACAAGCCGCTCGTTACTCCTGGAAGCATTACGTACATATTGAAAGTAGATATGTATACTAAAATTAATATAACAAACCCGGAGTGTTTTATACTAAAAGTGATAATATAAGTTCTACCGATCTCCCGCAATTTTTTTTTACGGGTTTTCATTCACGAAGGTGAAAACGGTACACGCTTGGTTTAACAACCCGATGCAGTTCTGGCAGAATCAATTCAATTTCGCCGTGTGGTGCACGACCACCCGGTGCGACGTGACTTTGAGTCGGTCTTTATTCTCGTTTCACGTGTACTACCAGATCAGACGTATCCTGAAAGAAATCAGCACCCCGATTCCGCAGGCCAGGCGTGGAATGCCGTAAACAATCCGTATGATCGACGTGCGTACGAACGCTTTTGCGGTGAATTCGAACTATATCCGAAAACAGTCGATTGGCGTTTGCCAGGTCGAAACCACGGTTTGGGGGCATTCCCATCATTCACAACATGTGTCTCGTGGAAGCCAGAAAACAGCTGGTGAAAGATTGGGGGTTACAAGTCGTATCATTATGTCATGACAAATGAGTGGAACGACAATTACATGGCTTTCGACAACAGCAAGGATTACCGCGTTTGGAGTTTTGAGCGCGGACAATTTGGAAAATGTTCATGCTGGACACTTCGAAAGGGTTTACTCGTGTCGGTGTCGTCAGTACGTGTGGGCCGTGCTGGGCGCTCAGATGCAAACACGTTCCAGCATCATGGGTGAAGGGACAGCTTACGACGCGCAGACACAGTTTGTGGCTAACGTTGAGGACGACGAAAGACTACAGGTTTTTTATCCAGTCTCTGACGTTGCCTGATGATGGGCTTTTTGGTGTTGGGCTTGGTGGTGTGCCGCCCGTCAGCGATACCACCAGGGATCGATATGATGAAACCCAAGCCGTCAGAACGCTGGCGATGGTGATCCCTTGTTCCCGGAACAGAGTTCGGATCCTGTCGGCCAACGTGGTGTCCTCATTCAAGACTCTGTCGATGGTTTCGCGCACGCAGCTGATTTACGATCGGAGGGCTTCCCGGTTGGAGGAAGTGGCTTCCAATCAGGTCCATCTCTCGTCTTCCAGGTCGCGCAATCTTTTCTCGATGTTTTTCGTGGCCTTGTCGCCCAGTTTTCTTTCTTTTTCTTTTTTTCTCACGAGCGATGTGCTCGTCAATTTCGTTCAGTTTACCCATGTTGTTCACGAGTTCTTCGCGCATGTTTTTCAAGGTTTCATCTAGACCATGAAGTTCCTTAAGGGGAAATTCTAAACCGGGCAAGGGGTCGTCCCAGTATTGGTTCAATAATTTTTCGGGGGCGGTGGGGTAGCCTAGTGGTTAAGGCTTTCGCTCGTCACGCCGAAGACCTGGGTTGGATTCCCCACATGGGCACAATGTGTTAAGTCCATTTCTGGTGTCCCCCGCCGTGATATTGCTGGAATATTGTTAAAAGCGGTGTAAAACTTAACTCACTCACTCACTCAATAATTTTTCAATTTGTCCGACGCTTCTTTGGCATGCTTGGGCATTTCTCTCGGATCGGTGCCAGCACCGAGTTCGGGTCTTACGTTTTGCAGATCTCGGACGACCTTCGGCGGAAGTTTGAGTCGCCGTAATCTCCCAGGTTTAATTCGTTGCGGATCAGTTGACTACCGCCACGGCGACTGGCTAGTGTAGGCAGGGCTAATGGTTTTCTTGTGTGTTTATTCATGAGATCGACCTCC